TATTAGATAAAACAACTCTTCTGCAAAAGAGAGAGAAATGGATTGAAGTACAAATTAAAAATGTAGCAAGTTCAAGGTAGATTGATCTATTGAATACCTTATATTTATTTGACTATCATCAAATTAGTATTTTATCCTAATGGATTGATTTAATTAGTTTCGCGTGTTGGTATTGAAAACAATCAAAATATATACCAAAGAGTTTGATTTAAATCTTTAAAGAATTGAAGAAGTAAAGATATTAATTAAAGTATTAGAATATACATACCTTAATTGGCTAGGTTGTAGCTGCTTTTCCTTTCTGAATGATGCTCAAAGCTAAAAAGTTGTTGGGTTTTGTAGAGAGACTAATTAAGCTTAATTTGATAGAATATCTAAAAATCTGTATCAAACAAATGAAATATTGAATTAAAAGAGATAATAAAACAACAGTCAAAAAAGAAAATTTAATTATCATTATATTAGTTATAATTAAGAATAATTAGATACTCTAATGAATTAAAACACTAACAATAAAAAGTTTTAAAGTAAAGATATATTTAGTCAGTACTAATTAAGTCACCTAATATTATCTCTTTGATTTGGTCAATATAATGGTAAATATAAGGATTGTTCAACGTAAAAAATAATAATAATAATAACACACACTGATAGAAATAATGATATGAAGAGATATATGCATCAAAAGATTGCAAAAAGCCAATATATATATATATGTGGTAAAATGAAATTTGAGTAAAAATTATTTAGCCATCTATAGCTTGGGATTAATTAAGAAGCATACCTTTGCTTTAATGCCCAAAGCTGGAAACGCAAGTGGAGATATTTTCTGGAAAATAACTGCAAGGATGGAAGAGTAACACAAGAAGAGGATGGGAAAAAGATAAAGGCTCTGGATGGTAAAAGGAGAAGGATAAAGTTCTGAGAAAGAATATTTAGGATGGTATGGTATGTAAAAAAAGGGCAAAAGGTACCCATTTGCCCTTAAAGATTTCGAATTTGAAGCGTTTTACCCTCATATTTTAATATATGAATTTTTACCCTTTGTGATTTCTAATTTGAGAAAATGAGGCAAAATTTAACGTCAAACGATCAAATACCACACGTGCATCGTTGTTTCCGTTATAACTTTACATGTCAGCACCAACTTGGATATTTTTTAACATGTCAGCAAATCTACCT